CAGCAGGTCAAGGCTGTGGTGGCCGGGAGGGGCCACTGCACTCTAGTCTGGGCGACAGAGTGAGACTCCGACTCAAAAAAAACAACAAAAAGACAACAAGGTTTTCTGAAAATATATGCCCACAAATATCATAATGAGTTGAAAATAGAGAATAAAAATATAGATACAGTTGATCACAATCTTTACAAAAGATAAAGGCAGGAAGGCAAGAGACAAATTGGTATGAATATTATACACTAACATCGGTTACCTCTGGATGACAGAATTATGGGTGCTGTTTATCTTCTTACCATTTCTACATTTTGGAAACTCTTAACGATCAACATGCATTTCTCAATTAATCGGGTGCAATGAAAACGCGAGTGACATGTTTCTGGACCTCTGAGGCACACCGCAAGATGACATGGCTCAGTACATGTCCTGGTTAAATATTTGCAAAGAACACTGGTCCCCTCTTCGGGCAGCGTAAGCTGTATAGTGTGTCATGAGACGGGACTACGTCTGGGGAGGTATTTGCGACAGCGACCCGGGTGGGGCCGTGTCTGCCATCTCTGCCCTCCTCCTCCTCCTCCTCTTCGTCCGCGGTACCCACCTCACTCCGTTGGGCCTCTTCCTCAAGTTCTGCACCTCCCTGGTCTCCTCCAGTTTTAATCTTAAAAAGAAAAAAGAAAGGCAACGCACAGGCTGAGAGACCCTCCGCAGACCCAGGGCCAACAGGCAGTTTCCCTGCCCCGCTGCTGAGCCGCCAGCACGGTGGTCCGGAGGGCGACGCCGCGCCTAAGACCCACCGGGAGTCAGAGTCACTGTGCATCCCGGGGGCACCTTTCCCGGCTTGCGGCCTCGGGGCGGCGGCCTCATCCCCAGGAGCCTCAACTCTTCGTCTGTCCGCAGAAGGAACAACAACCCCGGCTCCCAGCTAATGTCACCCAGGCCTCTGACGGGGGTGAGGCCCCCCAAGCCAGTGGAAGCCCCGCCCGAGACGCACCGAACCTCCTCTGAGTCCTGCTCATCTTCCTCCGACTCCGAGTCGACCCGGCGCCGACGGAAAATCTTCCCGGTGACCGGCATAGCGCCGCCGGCTCCGCGGCCCAGCCGCCGCGCCGCCGCCCCGGGACCCGGGCTACTTCCGGCGCGCCGGAGTGTCGTCAGAGCCCCAGCGCCGCCGGGCCCCGCCTCCGACCCGGCGTGCCCCGCCCCGGCACGCACCGCCCGCCTGGCCACGCCCCC